TATTTAATTTAATAATGCAATTTTTTGCAATTTTCAACGATTCTGAAATTATTGCAATTATTGCAATTTTGTATACTTTGCTTAATAAAATATACAAATTATTATTTCTAAAATAATTTTAAAATAAAACTATAACTACGACGTAAATTTTCGTATTTAAATGTATTTTAGCATTTTTAAAATTACATTTATCTGAGTTATTCACAAAACTCATAAGTTTAAATAAATTAAATAATCAATTAATTAATAGTGTAAACATATTTAGTGAAATTGAAAATATTTCGATAAATATTCTCGGTCCCAATAGGAAAATAGTTGAAGATAAATTAAAATATGCGTTAGAAAAAAATGAGGGATATAAAACAACTAAAACTTACACTGAGGTTATAACAGAAAATCAAAATGTTAATTTAGATGTAACACCAATTTTTTTAAATTATTTTAAATATGTATCGATAACAAGTGTAGACGTTGTACTTTTTCATAAGGTATATAAACAAATTTTAAGTAACAGAAGATAAAATTTCCAAGAACATAAATTAAAGATTTATATAATTATAAATTTTAATTAAAAAAAATGATATATTTTGTAAATATAATATTAATACCCATAATATCATTTAAGTAAGTAATTAATGAATGTATTTGATATAATTTTACTATATGATTTTAATGTATTTTTCATTGCAATTTTAACATATTTATATTGCAATATTGATTTATTTTTAATGCAATTTTGACATCGTTTTAGTGAAATTTTAAGATATTTTTAATGCAATTATATCCGGTTTTTATTTATAATTATCAATTATTATCGTGACTTGTTTTCCCGTTGAGTGTTTACTCTAAAAACATCCATAGCTGCGTAATTTTATCCTTGTCAACTCAATCAAAGTCAAAATATCGTTATTGACATTATGATATTTTAGATATTAATTAATAAATAAATTAATCATTATTCAATTATGTCTCCGTGCTCTTGCTACTTACTACATTTTATGAATTTAATCCTACTATGAAATACGAATTGCGATTAAAATATTTTAAATTATTTATAGTCACTAGGTATACACATCATAATTGGTAGTACGATTAAATATTAAATTGGTGAATTTAGTCTGAAATAATTGTTGTATACGTGTTTTTTAAAATGTTTTCTGACATTTTAGTCATTTATTAAATTAATCCATTTCGAGATGATTGATATTTCATAATTAACAATGGTTTTATAACCTGTGTTAAGTTTCCGATACATTTTCCCTGATAAATTTACAATACTAGTATAATATCGGCATAATGCGGTATTATACGATAAAAAATAATACCGGATTTTTAAAACTCTACTCGTTTACAGTACGTGCACAAAAGGGCCGGGAGTTTTTTTGTTTACCGATCGAATCACGGCGGTGTGGACATAAACTTTGTTTATTTTTTATATTTTCGCCTTCTTTTCTCTCTATTTTTCTATACCGTTCTAATAACCCGGTTCTCGTGAGCGCGACAGACAAAAGTGCATCTCGCGCGCGACTCGAGGAGAAATTACGGCCTCGGCGCCGCGAGAAAAGTACGAGAGGGCTACGTGTCAAGCGCACTTTTAGCGTACCCGGCGCCCGCCACTTATGGGTACAGTACGCCCACGGGTTTCCGGTGACCGTCCGCAAACAGTGCACGAAGGATCGTCTCTTACACTTCTCATCCCTGAACTCTTCTATGCACATACACACACACACGCGCGCGTATTTATTATGTAATATACCGGGCACGAGCGCTCAAAGATTATTTTTTTTTTTTTACAGCCCGACCCGCAGTCGGTCTTATTATTATTATTAGTATTATTATTTAATCCGGAGCGATAAACTAGGTGCGCACCTCTCCTAGGTGTCGTAAAACGAAAAAACAACAAAAAAAAAAAAAAAAAAAAACAATAAAACCAAAACCAACGATAAAACTTCGTGTCGATAAAACGTCGATGCGTGTGTTAGTTAATCAAGTGTGTGTGTGTGTGTGTGATGAAAATGAAAAAAAAATATCACGACCTTTATTGAAACAGTTTTATGTTCTGGAGGGACCGAAAATTTTTATTACCATGTTCCCGAAACGGCCGATTGAAAAAACAATATAATAAGGGCCACTTAACATACTTTATTATACTTGTATGTTAGGATTTCTCTTATTTAACTATAAATACATTTTTTTTTTTTTAACGTCACCCCTTAAATTTGTCTTTAGGCTTAAAAAAATGTCCTTTTATTAAGATTGACCCATGCCGACTTGAATTTGAAATTTGAGTACATTGATTCATTTGTAATTTAATGATGTATTTCATATTTTTTTGTAAATCTTATTTAAATATAGGAAAATTGAAATTTGTTGTATAAACTAAGTATAATTTTTTATAAATTATGTTCTTACATTATTCTTCTTATAATTGACTAGATACATTCATTTTGATACATGAAAGTAAGTATTATTTTCTTAAAAAAAAATAAACAAATACAAGTTACATAAAAATCAATGGGGCGTATTAGATTTTGTTAAGCTGCGATACCACCGCATCAAATACAGGACGTTTAAATGGTGCATGTGTTTTATTGGAATAAAAATTTAAAAAATATTTACTTACTTATCACGTCGCCACCACATACATGAAATATTTTTACGTGGCCTTTTTGAAACTATACTTCCTTTGTAATCTTTACTCCTGATTTTTCCAACTGTTCAAAAAGTTTTGAATCAATTGGAATAAAAATAATATTACAAATGCAATTTTAGGTATAGACGATCAAAGTGTTGCCCTACGTTAGAAGATGCACGAAGTTATGCCGTTCAATTTTGTCGAGATATTTTACAAAATAAAAGTTACAGAATGGCTTTAATGAATTAGGTACTTGACCGAGATATAATTTTTTTTGAATGACAATTTGGACAATAAATTGAAATTACATCCTCCTGGAGTAATCAGCTTTTTTTTGGCGATACATTATTCAAACGAAATCAAAATATTAATGATACAGTCACTTAACAATGATGGAGATGTACAACCGATGTTTTGCGTTTTGTTGTTTTATTTCAAGATTTTAGCGAAATTTGGTCAGGTATATAACATATATGTCAGCTATAAAGTTCTTAATAGAAAATAATTTAATTTTTGAATTTTTTTTTTTTTTTTTCAAACATTAGCCTCCTTTATATATAAGAAGAGTATAGAATTTTTTTCTGGATTTTATATTAATACAAAATTTTTAAGGATAATCTACGAGTATGTGTAATACCCAAATTAATTATTTACCCCAAATAGAAACCATACGCTCGCTAAATAATACAGTGGAAAGAGTCATTAAACTTATGGAAGATTTTCATGGAAATTTAACCAATATGAGGTTTGAGTTGATCCAAAATAACAGAAAAATTTACCCTGATTATAAAAAGGTTAAATGGAAAATCCAATTTTAATGAATGTATTTTAATGTATAATGACATTTCGAGAAAATAATATTTTCATAGATCAATTTAATATATCTTGTAAATTATATTAAATAAAAAGTAGGTTACAACATAATTCATAAAGCATTTTATTTTATTTTTTTAAACAAGATATTTAAAAAATTTAAATTTTCGCATTTGTAAATGAGATGTACATAAGAATGTAAAATCATTAAATTACGAATGAATTATTTTACTAGAATTTCAAATTCAATTCGACACGGGTTAACCTTAATAGATCGACTTGAAACTTTCTGTAGTTTATTTTATTTATACATATACACAAACTCAGGAAATGAGAATGGAGAAATATGGATATTGATAAATAAGAGGGACACGGTACTGTATATGTATACTATATAAATTTGGTTTCAAAGTTCCGACCTCGGGTTGATATTATAATTTATTTTCCGACGTGAATTAAAATTCGCTTCCATCGCGTAAATGAAAAATATAGACCCGGTAAAATACATAAATTGAATTTGAATGTTATCGACACTGATGCAGTAGGGACTTTGAGACGTAAAATAATTACGTGCAATTTTAAAATAGAAAATAAATGTGATATTAAGTATTTTTCATATTACACTAGAACTAGCGATTCCGATTTCCTTCTTAAATAAAAATTGTTTTATCTGACAACGATAATTTGTTGACCGAAAATTATAAATAATGAGACATTTTAAGGCGGCGAAAAAATATTAAAATATTAACCGTGGTATTGAACGAATAATTTTAGGCAATCGTTAAAAGATTATCCTGATTTCACGAGGAAATGACCGGCGAAATATTATTCCTGCGATCGTAGTATAATATTAATATGTCTCTTATTGAATTTGAGTGAACTTCGAGATATTTTTATTTCGTAACACTACAGAGTCATAAAAAAAAAAAAAAACTATTGAAACAAGTATTCAAGTAAATACTCAAATACTTTTGAAAAAAAAAATGAATTGTATAAAACAACTTAAGTGCTATAAATGTAAATGCATACTTGAAAAAAGGTAAAAACAAACATAACGGTTAACATAATAATAATTGTACAACATAATATTATTTTATTTTTATAATTATAAATTATATATTACACATATATTTTCGACGATAATATAAACGAAATTACCATCGGCTAAAGCATAACGTTATTGTAATGCGATGTATTACAGTCGTTGGACAGTAAAACTTACGTGTTGATAAACATTACGTATAACATAATTATAACAAGTGTACGTAGTACGTTGTTTACACCTATAACTAAGTATGTAAGTATATAATAAGCTAAAATTTAAGATTTTAATTTAACTTTTCGTAAAATACGATGATCATGAACGAGAGGGAGAGAAAAGGGAGTATTCAAATACTTATACTCAAACCGTTTTATTCAAATACTTTATAACAACCAGGTCGACGTGATTTTTTCTTAAACCATTCTAGAAACATTTAGCTACCCTTCTCGGCTCGTGCACGGTATTATAACGTGACGCACGAGCGAAAAAAATAACATTAGACATGCTCACCAAGGACGGACGTATTCTGCCGCTCCAACTTCGCCTCTGCTACGGTGTGGACTTTTCGCTCGCCGTCCCTTCGCCACCATGGAACGTGTGGCCATGTTTGTCCGATGTTGAGTGCGGGTTCGTCGCGCGGGTCTCGGGCTTTTATAACGAGTGCGCTGCGACCCGCGAACTTCTCTGCCGCGTCGTAGACCACCTCGCACACCCTCGACCGCCGCACCCTGCGCCGCTGGTTCTCCGGAGGCAGGCGGATTCTGCGCGCGCGTCCGTGTTTCTATGACGACAACCGTCGGCTAAATACTAAATGAGCTAACGGTGTATAATTGAATCGCACCCTTCCACTACCCTCTGTCGTCGTAGACCCTCGTTCACCTCGCCACCACTTCCTCCCGTTCCGCCCACCGACTCACGTGCCCGTCTCATATGTGCATACGAGTGTACTTTCGTTTCCCCGTACACGCGCGCCCCGTCAAAATCTCTTTCGCTGTCGTTCCGTCACTCCACCGGTGCTCCGCGTCCTTTTCGTCCTGCTCTCGCGTGCCTCCCCCCCATCACCCCGCCGGCCATCGTTTTCGTACCATCGTCGCGTATTTTTCGTCCTGCCTTTCAAACCCGCCGCGTTCGCCGCACGAGGACTTCCCTGTCCACCGACGCGTATCGTCATCGACGTCGCGTTTTCACCCCCGTTTACCCAAACCATCTTTTCGAATAATAACGATAATGTATTATTATTATACATTTTTCCCCGTACGTGCATCCGCAAACGCGCGTGTGTATTAGTTAAGGTTCTTCTGCCGTCGCTGACGAATAAGGAATGTTTCGGGTTGGCGAAACGACGACCACGTAGAAACGAACGACGCGTGTTACGTCGTTTTTTACGATGGCGGTCATCGCTAGTGCCGCGTTAAGCTATGTAACCACCCCGGGGCAAATTAAAATATGCCACCCTTAAGAAAATTACAATTAAAAATAAAAAATTATACATATGTAATAGAAATAATATGTATTATAGTTAAACAGTTACATAAGAAAAATTATAATTATATATTTTTTATTTTACGTTAGTCCTCAAAAAATTGCCCCCTCCCCTTGCCCACCGTTAAACGCGTCTCTGGTAACCACGGTCGGTGATCTCCAACCGGCGTGGCTGTGGAAATAATACGTTGTCGTTAACAGCCATAAACGTGGATGAGATTCGAGGTAAGTATCCGGAATGAGTGTTGCGAAAGAAAACGGTCGTTTTAAAATTACCGAGATATCCGCAAACGATTTAGTCCGATATCCGTTTTGTCATGATCGTCGCGTGCGTTCCGGTTTGAAGTACTGGCGGGAGGAAAAAAAAAGCGAAACTACATTTTTTAATGAGTATCACTCGAATGAAATAAACGCCTCCAGTACCATTCGTACACTTTATTTGTCGTGCTCTTCTCGAGCAAAATTATTATAGACGGGCAATAATTTTATTCCAACAGCTTATCGATTTAATTTTCGGTTATAGATATTTTTTACACTCTCCGATTTCAGGAACAATTCGCCTCAAAATAAGTGTTTACGCACTTTCACTCCAACAGTAATCGTCGTTCGGTAAGTAGTTTGGCGTTCATTGCGAAGCATAAAATGTCTTTGGTTGACAATAATTATTATCAAACCGTTTATAACTAGTTTTTGTTTCCTTTCGTTTTGTTTTTTTCGCTGCCCGTTGATATCATAATTGTTTTATGTTCGAGTCGTTCGGGTTGTTCACAGTTACGCAGCGATCCTTTAATATTCACCGCGCGTTCGCTCATTGTCGAAAACATATTTCGACTTCTTGATGCGGCTTATCGTCGCACTGTTGACCGTTTTGTCAACGCATCACTCGGTTCTACAGCTTAGCGGCCGATAAACTCATTGGCTGGGCTGGGCTCGGGATTAATTGTTAACGGTCAGGGGAGAGTGACGGGATGAGTGTAATCGCTCGTGTACGTCTACTCGCATCGCACCACCGGAGATTATCGGATACGACGAACGACGCGCGAGAAACAAAAGATCACAAATCCGACGGACGTGATCGTTGTTTAAACGTTGTCGCGACCGAACCTGCGCATTGCGTTCCAGGGACGGGCAATTGGCATGCTTATTTTTTTTTCTAGTGCATGCTACGTTTTCAAATCACTTCGTAAGGTTTCGATGTTTAGTGTTATTCATTTTATCACGTTGATCGTAAGACGTAAATATTATATTTTTCACTAACATTGAGAACTCCAGCTAAATCATTAAACGACCGAGTAGAATTATATATCTGTATCGGTAGGTAACATAGCTATAGGTGTTGGACACTTATTCGGTGCAGTCGTAAGGTTAAATCGTTCAAAGTAAATTATTTCAATGATGTTTCTTCATTTCTATTACTATGATCCTCCAGATTTTAAAGTTCTACGAATTGGCCCTATTGTTACTTTGAGTTGCCCGTCCCTGATGTACACCGGGATCGTCACCTAACACTGACGGGACGAATGGATCTAAACGGATTTGAGGGTTGACCGCGAACAGCACCGTCCTCGCGGTACACCTACGGCAACGATTCTCAAAGTGTTTGCCGCGATGTCTATACAGGTGCGCCGTGCCGTCGTGAAATACTATCTGGTATAAAATTGTCCTTACGATTATTCGTGCTATGACTTGGAGAAGGGCGTTCTGAAAAAACCTTAGATCAAAAAGTGCGCCATGAGTCAAAAAAGTTTGGAAAGCAATGATCTAAGGCAACAACTGTACCGTAGAGATCACGTTTTCGATTTTATTCCCGAGCCGACTCCGAAACGTAACAGAGGTTGCAGTTGTAGTGGAGGCAAAGATAAAATGATAAAAATAGAAAAAATTACTACATTTTCAAAAAAAAAAAAAAAAAATGAAATAAACAATAAACCGAGGGTTGAAAGAGAAATAATAATATTGTTAAATATCAAAAATTATATGTTGCGCGTAACCGGTGTACATTTTTTTTTGATTATTTATTTATTTAGTTTTAATTTTCACTACTTACTGTAGTCGTGTATCAAAAACAATAATTAATCCAGGGATTAGAGAGCGGACGAAATCCCTGGGAAATATGTTCGTTATATATTTATTAATACAATTGTCGGCTGGGAAGTCAGCAATGAAAGTTTCGTGTTGCAAAATTTCTGATTGGCATCTACATGTGGATGGGTTTTACTTGCAACAAGTCGTTTTATGCTTTTTTAATAGTTTTTATGGCACAATGAATCGGAAAATTAAAAAATAATTTACATTTGTTTTGATGGAGTAATATAGTATGAAATTCAATGCGTTACCGCTTAGAGGTCGTAAACAATGGTAATCGTATTTAATTGAACTGTTGGTACAAACGATTTGAACATAACTTTTAACTAAATTATAATTATTTCATTAAATATTTATAACGTATGCAATTACGTTGGTCATATTAAATTATTCAAAATTATGCAGACGAAAAACATAACCTTATGAAACTATCATATTTCAAATCGGAATTATTATCGTTCAGAATTATTCTTTTGCACATAAATAATGTAGTACCTATGTTATAATCTAATAAAAGCATTATATTATTATACCTACTTAGGACTAGCGTTTGAATTCATAATTGATTTATTTATTTGTTTTTATACTGGTAAAACAATATTATATGGAGATGTAAAATGTGTTTATGGTGTTCTTAATAATTAATTTAATCTATTTTAAACTACCCATTTTCAGATTTTTTTTCCTCGAATTTTTCCATGATATAAATATATAACAAATTTAGATTAATAATATATTAATAAACCATACGTATACATATTTTTAGGGTGTAACTGTAAGTTATTTGTTATCAGATGGAAGTAGTTATTTAATTAGCAATTAAAAATTAAAATGTGTAAATCAGATTATTTTTTATTATGTCATAATACAGTAGATTATCTGTCTTATTTCATTGGAAATGCGACACTCGTCACGTACAATGTTAAAACCTTTATGGAACTGATTTACTATTATTTTCGGATTACTGCGAAATGTTATATTGTGTTCAAGTAACACAATATCTTAATTGAAACAACTCAAAACTCTTTATTTTTTCATAATTTACCGGTGTACAACAGTTATCGCGATTCACATTACATATTTGTTAGATTTATTTGAAATACGAGTTTTTCGTTTGCATTTCTTTTTTTTATGCTATCAATGTTTTATCCGGTTACCGGTTCACAATACTCAGTTATTATATAAACCCTGTAGGAAGTTGTTGAAATCCTGTTGGCACTTTTGTTTGGTCATATTTTCATTATGCACTTGAGAATAGTTTATCGAGCAATCGTCTTACATACTTTCATACAACCCCTTTGGTTCTTTGTCGATTGAAAATTGGATACGTTTGTTTATTGTATATTACAGTATTTTGAGAAGATCAAAATCACAAATTGCCAAAGCTTTTTTTTTTAAAACAAACTGTTTAAGCTGATAAGATATAGATAAACATAATTTTCAAACGAAATGCACACCGCAGTTTATGCAATAGCTGAATTAAAATAAATTAGAGTTGTAGAGCAATGAAATTGAAACTTATAAATCATTTTATAAATTCTCTTCAACATAATAATGTCCCGTCTTAAGTACTTGAGAATACGAACCATAGCCGATAGTATACCAACCAAACAAATAAGAAATAGAAATGTCCTACACAAAATGAGTATTATGTATCTACCCGAGTGATAAATTGCATTAGTTTTATGATAATTTACATTGCACGGGGTAAGTTAAAACTCCCAACTTAGTGAACACTGAACAGTCAAGTGGCGTCTGAGTCCACGGAAATGTTCAAAGATTCACATAAAAATAAAAACATTGTCACCCGCAATAAGTTTTATTTATTCGTATGGCTAAATTAAACCCGCAATAAGTAAAAACTGACTACACATATGTATGTTTATGTAAAAAGTGTTGGTTTGTGAAAATTGAAATAAAATTAAATTGGATCGAGTTACCCATTTTCGTATATTTAAGATGTACCTGTATCGTTTGTATAAAAATTTTTGCTCGACAAAGACTTGCTTTATATTCGTAACATTATGCCTTTGTGTACT